GGCCGCGCTACAGCTGCCGCATGGAGGCATTACAGCCGCCGCTGTTCAAGCGCTCGCTAACAACTGGAACCTGCCCGCCGCACTCTCGCAGGCGCAGACGCAGCAGGTGCTACGGCTTGCACAGGTACTAAACTACGCACTACGTACAGCTTGGATTTCAAAACTGAAAAAGCTAACTGCCTGAACTTGATTTGACTACTGAGAGGTGATTTTGTGGAGATTACATCAAGATTTGCCAGTTGGCGCCGTCTTCAATCGTTCGAGTACATTTCTTTTGGAATAAATATCCATTCTTTTAACGGCTTGGTTAGTTATGGTTGGTTAGTTACATTTATAACCTCACAGACAAGTCGAATGTAGCGTAAATAGAGATGAAGATGTTTGACATTGTGTGGGGTGACAGGCACAGGTGGCTGCGCAGGCGCAGGCGGCGGCGCGCTATAACCTGGCGGCCAGCATGCCGCAGCACAGGTCGCAGCATCAGCGCAATGTACAGGTCAGTTGACACCCATAGCACACACCTATACACCACATAAACAGTATCCAGGACTCGAGTACAGTTTCGTAGTTATCTCTAAATCTCTGCATTAAAATTAGGGTTCTTAATTTTTAAAAGTTTGAATTCTTCATGTAAATTTAATTTAAAAATAATTGTCAAAGGCGTGGTCCCTCCCCGATCTCCGTTATCTTTGACACTTGTATATAATGTTTCTGTCATGTCTACATAATACATTTTGTATTTTAAACAAAGTTCAGCTTTAAACTTGTATCTGTCATTAATGTATTTATAATCTGCGCCTTGCTTTGCTCGATTTTTTACGATGTTTTTCATACTTCAAGTTATATATTTTTTTAATTACTTTGTACATGTTTGTAACAAGCCTGTAACCATTATAAACGAAAATTTACATGTTCTCTATAAAACTTAATACAAAAAAATGTGCTGTGTTTACATCAATTCCCATAAACCACTTTGGAACAAGTAAAACTCAATGTAACATTTGTTCCATGCTTCCACATGGAAGACATATTTTAAGGAAACCTTTATTTGTTACATTGCGGTTTCTAATTCCAAAATTTTAGTGTCATAACTCTCATTTTTCTTAAAAAAAAAACAGTACAGATAATATTTTCTACACATGATTTTATGCAATGGAAACCTTCTACTTTGCTACCATGATACTTTTTATTCCAGTACCCATAGTATAAACAATGATTTGATGTACATTTTTTTTACCATAGACAAGAATTTCACGAATAAATTGAAGTAATATAATGTCATAATTGTTATGCCTTGAAGTGATACTATTTAGTTCATTATGCAGTTGCATTGCATCATTACAAATTGCACCCTAATATTTAATTTGAAGCTTGTACTCACTATGAGGATGTAAATTGTTAAACACGAAATTTCCTTATCAGCTATAGAGGTTTTATTAATATAACTTACTGTAAAATTGCAATTTAATGACTTCCTAGTGTTGAATATTTAGGGGTTTTAAGGCTTAAAAGAATTTTTAACTTATTCCTTTTTGCATGTTGTATAGGTTCCCAAAGATTACTGTAGATAAATTCAATTTAATTTGCAAAAAATGGTGGGTTTTGTTATTTATATAATAAAACGTATTTAAATTATAAGTATTTAGATGTTTGTTTTACGCCTGTATGGGGACTTGGAGCGGGGAGGGCCACATGCTTGTATTTATTTTTGTATATATATTTTGCGTTTGGTTGTCGGTGTTGTTGTGAAACATGTATGTGTTGGTTGCAGTTTCCGAACAGTTCAATAACAATGGCGATGGCGCAGCAGCCGCCCCCACCTCTGGTGAGGAGCACTGCAAACACCACCACCATGAAGTGAGCATGCTTCTTATACCATTTTATATCTACATAGACCCACCATTTGTACTATTTCTGCCAATTATGCCTTTAGAAATATTTCATTTAGGAACATCCTGTATATCTAGTTATACCTTTTATTAATATTGGTGTACTGGCAGTCGACTGTGACACAAAAAAGAAAACTTTATTAGTAGCCTGTGTTCTTTGACTATGCTGTTTTTATTTTTAATTATTTTTTTAAATGCTCATAAATTTTCTTTGTTCCCAATAAAAAAATTGCTTATATAATTTATTAATGCAAAGTTATTTTATTCATACCAAACTTATATTGTATTTGGTGATGAAAGTTGTCATATTTTTTCATATAAACTAATAAAGTAGCTTTTATCTTAAGCTTTTTATCTAATCTATAAAGCATTGATAAGATAGTGTTTAAATCTCAAATAATACCTTGATAATCATTGGAGTGATCTATTCTTATCTCATTAAATATTTAAATCTGGATAAGTACAATTTGACAAGTCCTGATGATGCTCTAAAAATAAACGCCTAAAAACTAGAAAACAGGATGTTCTTTCTTTCATTGATTACTTTTATTCCTATTTCAATTCATCTATGCCTAATTTCGCAACTTATTTAGTTTTTTTTAAATAAAGTAATTAGTCCCATAGATATTTTAAAGCGCTTTGCTGCAAAAGGAATTTAGTTTCTTGTGTCCTTAAGCATCCTACTTTTGGTTTAATATATTCAAATGAGGTTGGGACCACGCATTCTAAATTATATAATAAATCGTAATTAAAATACATAAGTAGATATGTACAATAATAAATAAAATATATCTCATGACATAAATATAATACAGTCATATAGAGTTATCATTCATCTATCGACATTTTCGTAGAAAAGAGTTACATCTTTGACCATTTACATGTTACCCTTTTCATCATATAGTCTTTAAATTTTTAAACATGTTGATATGTTTAGAGTTTGAAATTAACAGTATTGTATTGTTTCAGTGTGCCACCGCAAGTAACTGGGACAATGAATGGCCACTCAACCTCTCTGTCCGTGGAGCCGCGCAAAAGGCTTACCCCTATAGCAGACATCAATACAAATGGCAGCCATACGCCGTATAAGGTAAACACTACCCTTTTATTTGATCATATTAACCTTAAAAATATATCTTGTAACTATTTAAGTTAAACTCTATGTATGTGCTAGGATATGGTCCACCACAATAATGGTTTAGTGAGATCCCAACCAATGATCACGTGATCGGATGTCCATACTTTTAACTTAAAGGCTATTGGCGTTTCTTATATGGGTCATTAGTTAATCTCAGTTAAACAACTGTATTATGGTTTTGAAAAATCTTAAGAACATAGTACGAATCGCTTTTCAGAACATAATGTTCATTGTAGCGTGGTTTAAGTATAAGGTTGAAATGGAAAATATTTTTGTTGCAGGTGCAAAAAGCACTGGTGGAGAACACAATGGTACCGTGCATCAACGCGAAGCCATACCAGTACACGGAGCTGCTGATGACGCTGCCCGACCTTGCCAGCCACTTCTTCCCGCGCGTGCCGCTCGCCACCTGCCGCTCCATGCTCGAGGCGCTCGGCCTCACCCTCTATAGGCCCAACTCGTTAGTACTCACCTACATTACATCTTAAAACTAACTCGAAAAAAAGTACCCCCTGAAAATTCGGGATAGTCATGCATACATTATGCGTGATTCGACCTATTTGGCATTTGACTCATGTGCAAGGTACAAGTGTTTTATTGAATCGGCTATTTTGTAATTTAAATCGTTACAAAATGATATAAGCTAATTTTGTCTAAAATGGTAGACTATTTACCTAAAACTTGGCTAAGTTGCAAGTCCTATTTAAGTTATAGATGCTATGGGTATGTATTAAATTAATTTGTTTAATTTTTCCAGTACTCAACTGCAAGTACTACGGAACTCGGGTAAATGTAAATCAGCGGCTGCGGGCGAGAATGGTCTCGCGCTGGTGCAGATCCGCGACGTGATGCAGCATATGCTGCAGATCAAATATATGCTGCGGTCAGGCATGGCGATGGAGGAGCACACGCAACAGCAGCCCCCGAGACCAGCGCACGCACATCCGCCCCACGCCAAGCGAGCACGCGCAAACTGAACTCACGCCACAATAACAATGAACTAAACATATGCTGACTGGTGATAAACTGACCCAGGCGACGATAAGGGTTATCTCTTATGAGATCCCTCAAAGGAGCTTGTTTGGCATGGAAAGAAACCAGCAAAACATCGCCAGCATAGGTCTTGCTTCTTGAAAACACTGTAAAACTGTTAAATGCCCTTGAGAATGGAAAGTTGGACAGCTGTTTAAAGATACCTCTGTGTTTTGTCTCATGAATAAGGTGGCCATAACTGAAAAATTTCTTTAAAAGGGCTGGCCAGCCTTTCTAATGTAAACCATTTGTTGGCGCAATACAATACCAGTGAATTATTTTAAGGATAAGAAGTGGCTGAGACATGTTGAACCTTGACACAGTTTGCGTCAATATCAGCGCTTGTGTACTAAAGAGTTATCATTCGACTTGTGTGTAACTCCATCAGTGCAAATTAACTTATATTAGTTATAAAGAAATGTGAAAGTGGTAAACAATAATATAAAATTGACTTTTGGTCACATTTTAAGATGTTTAAGTGTTTAAATTTAGTTATTTTATTAGCGTTAATTCAAACGCTGTAAATATAGACTTATGTAATAAGTTAGTTATGTCAATTTTTCCATATTTGTATGTATAAATATTGTAAATGTATAGATCTAACTTGTAACAATCTACACTTACTATTTAATAGAAGACTGAGAATTTTATTTTTAATTATTTTATAGCTAAAAGAATGGATGTGTCGCGAAATGTGACGCTGTTTTTTTTTTATTATTTTGGAGTAAATATTAATATTGTACATTTATATACTCTGTATATAAGATTGTTTATGCTTAAAGTGGTAAAGTTATGTAAGTCACCAAAAATGGACTCTCATGTAAAAAAGGTTAACATGATGCATCAATGCAATAACATATAGGTATAAGGTATTTCTTCAAACTCTTGAGAAGTAGAAATACATATATTTAATCTAGATATAGATTTCTAACCGATAGATGGAGTATAAAATTTTCAAATGGCAATAAAAGGCTTCCAGAGGCCTTTTTCTAGCCCTTTGTGCTCCGGATAAAGGATTTCTAAGTTATAAATCTATGATCTAGGCAATGTTCCTAAAATGCTGTGCTACGAGAGTCCATAGAGGTTTTATTACTTTAAGAAAAAGCATGACCTGTAAGGTTTTCTATTATTATATAAATACAGATTTTACTGTGTTCCTGTATATAGTATGATATAGACCAAATAACAAAATATTGGCCTGAAGTATTCCAGAAAATATGACCAACAGGTTATGTTTTCGTAATTTAAAATAGGATAAAAATTGTAAATTATTATCAGCCAGAATTTTTGTATTAATTTTGCATGTATTTTCAAATTAATGAGGCTTTTATAAAAAAAAGGATATTAGTTTAAACGCACAAAGCTATTTCTGTATTTATTTCTACCTTTTTTTTGTAATATCATGTGAAATTTCATAAGAAAGTTTCTTGGCAAAACCAGTGAAAAGTTTTTATTGTATGTTTAAGATGAAAAAAAGTACACCGATTGTTTATTGGTATTTTGTGCAAGAAGGATTGATGAATAATTTTCCTTTGGTAAAAATTTAAATGTATTTAATTTGCATTTTATATGTTTTATTTGGAAAATTCATTCCTTAAAACATTTTTTTGTAAACATGACAAATATGTGCTAGTTATTATGTATATATATTTAATGCAATCTTCACTTTTTCATTGTGAAGATTGTCATATTAATTGTAACCTTATATCAAAGCCATGTAAAATGTTTATGGTAAATTATTTATGTTATAGTTGTAAGTCCCAGTATGATCTAAATCATTATTGTGAATTGTAAATTGAGTGGTTACAGGACACTGTCTTGTGGAGTTCTGATAAACAAAATAAAAAGATTCTTTACATTAAAGACTTTTATTTACATTTATACTTATTTTCATGTTTAAAATGGTATCTCCATTATTAATTATTGCAAAAGAAACTACTGCATACCGTGGGTTTCTGAGACCAACATCTTTAACATAGTCATCCTTGTCATTATCATTGATAAAATGGAGACTTTGGTGTTGAACTCATGGATAGTCATGAAAGGCCTAGAGAAGTTAGAGTATTTTTTGGATTTATATCCTAAAGCTGAAGTCCTTTAATTAAGGAAAGCTCTCACACCATTGTTAAGGGAAGGCACTATCGCTATTTTTAACTGTGGTCTGATATAGGCTGATATTTACATTTAGAATACCTAAAGAACTAAAGGAGAATGGAAAAGAGGAGAATCGATTGTAAATAGTGGAGAGTTCGATACCACATCCATTTTTTCCTATTTGGTGTACTAGGTCTCAAGCACTACACCCAACATTTAATAGTAGATAAAATCTAAGAAAAGAGCTATTTTTTTTTAAATCTCGGAACCGATTATGCATAATATATTCAAGCATATAATTTTTTTAAATATTTTATATATTCTTTGTTTTAAAACTTTCAAATTAAGACTATAAAGTTATATATTCTAGGTTCTTGATGAAATTTTGCATTATCTGCATAATATGTCAAAATGTCATTGACAACAAGTTTCTGTTCTGATCTGACATCTTGTTTTGCAAAAAAGCAAAAATTTAGGATTTGTGAATGCTAAATTTGATCATTTTCTTTAAATATTTGGATTTTGAGTACACACTTACATTTAACATGATCGCTGTTCCTGCAATATGCATTGGTCATTTAAATATATTAATAATTTAGTGATTGTTAAGTATTTGCCTTGCTTTTTTCGTAACTTACAATTATAATGTTATTTTTATTCTTAACTTTTGTATTTAAGCGTAATAATTTTATTTTTTCAAGTTTGTAGATTAAATTAACTTTTAATTTTTTTACAATGAGTATTCAAGTATGTAGGGACGCTTCAGACGCTGTGGTTTTATATCTACCACAGCGTTTGTATCTTAAATCTTTCGCAAAGCTTAATATTTCTGTTCAGCTTCCTTCACACAAGGTTTACGGAAAATCGATATCGAATTGGGAGTTGATGGAGAAAATACGCAAAATGATCCAACCTGACGCGTTTTCCATGTTGAAAGTGATAAAGCATAGTTCGGAAGTGATAAGGTTCGACGCAGAGTTAGAAAGTTCCGAGAAGTTGGGCAGGGTGCTGTCTCGTCTGGACAATCGCATTATCCAGTTGAATGATTACCCAGAACAGTTAAAAGTTAAAGTGTCTGAAGCAAAGTCTGAGTTTCCAAGTCGACATGCTTGGGATTCATTCTTCCGAGACGCTACTGACATGGACGAGATGAAGCCAGGCGAGCGACCTGACACGGTACACATTGCTAATTTACCAATCAGTTGGTTTATCCATGAAAAAGACAGTTACAGTGATGGAGTTCCATCTGAGAGTTTGTTTAAAAAAGTGTTTGAAAAATTTGGTGCCTTAAGACAAGTTGATGTTCCTGCCTCCGATCCATTTAGAATGCAAATGAAAGAAGCGATGAGAGGTATAACCATACCTGCAATGGAATCATCAGTATACTTTGAAGGTTACTTACAGTTTAGTGAATATGTTGGCTTTGTACGTTGTATGGATGCATTGAGAGGTCGGAAACTGTTACATAAGAAGGATGATATATCTGAATGGTGTAGCATAAGGGTGGACTTCGATAGAACTAAGCACATGACTGATGCAGCTGTAAAACGGAGAGCTATAGTCAGAGAGAGACTCATCGCTCGCCAAAGAGCTAAGGAAGAGGAAGAGAGAATAGAGAAAGACAAGATTGCCAAAAGGGAAGCAAAAGAAAGGTAATAATTTTCAATGTGGCTTACATTTTGTTGTAATGAATTCTTATGTTGCGTACATGAAAATAATTCAACATAGATATATGGGTTTGAAAAAAGAAAGTTTAGCATTTCTGACTGTTACTTACACATAATAATTTAAATTATATAGACAAAAACTTGAGAAGAATGAAAGGGAAAAAATGGAAAAGATGCGGGAAAGAGAAGAGAGAAGAAAAAAGAAAAGGCTAGCTAAACTGATAGAGAGGGACAAAGTAGATGTTAACAAGAAGGTTGCAGAAGAGCAGAAGAAACTGCTGCAAGCACAGAAGAGATTGCAAGCTATAAGACTTATTGAGGAATTGTTCAAAAGAATTGAGGTAATTTTATTTGGTATTTATAATCTTACTTATATCATAAATGCAAATGTTTAGATGGATGGATGTTTCTTTAAAGGTATCTCCACAATGACTGCATGGATCTTGTTGAAAATTTGGCATAGATGTAAGTTTTTTTAGTCTGCAAAGACGAAGTCGCGGGCGACAACTAGTAATCAAATAATTAACTTCTTAATATTTACTATGTGACAACACTGGGTCATTGTAGTGAGAATGTTTGTTTTCTAGTTACGTCCAGAGTTGCAGCGCAGTGGCATGCATGAGAGATACTATGGTAGTGAGGAGCAGGTGACACGGTCCCGTGTTGTGGACAGATTCAAACGGGTGCAGGAACAACAGTTGGAGAAACAGAGGGAACTGGTCAAGCAAGCACAGGATGGTAAGCCTTTACTAGAAATACTTATCATCATTATCAGCTCACTAAACCCACTCCCACCCACCCCAGGCTCGGAGCCTACCTAAGGTAAAGGTGCCTGGCAATAACCCTGGCTCACTGTGGGTCGAATGAATTTCATCATAGATATGTGCAGTTTGCATCACGGATTTCTTCTTCATTGTAAGAACGTTATATAAATGTACACATGTAAATTAAAAATTGAAAACACATTGGTGCATGCCGGGATTTGAAACCCAGGAGCTGCAGTTTTTATTTTTATTTTTGAGAGATATTTAAGTATAGAACCTCTATTTAACAATATACGAGTTTATTTGCAATATTAAGTGTTTATTTAGCGAATATTAACTATGTCACGTATTTTAGCCATAATAAACTAAAATGGTCCTTCAAGCCGGATCGGAGAGTTGTTAAAAAAATTTTTTGTTTTTTTTCAGGTCGCATAGTGATACGTTCAGCATTAGAAACGAAGAAACCGAGACAGGTCTCCCCTATCAGCTCACTGTCCTCAGAAGATGAGAGTACTAAAAAGAGAATCAAGAAAGAGAAACTATCCACTCCGGATAGAGAGTTTGAATATAAACCACCAGGTGAATCTTTAAAACCTTTTGATATTGGATTAACAAAATATACTAGCGGTTTTTCGCGACTTTGTCCGCGTGTTTCAATGAACAAATTAATAAGTAGTCTATGTGTTCTTCCAGACAATGTTCTACATTTGTGCATAATTTCAGTGAGACCCATACAGCTACACAGACACACAAAAATTAAAAAAAATCATTAGATTATATAGTTTGATTTCGCAGAGGGTTTTAACTTTAACTGCACAGAATACAATGTTAGATTCAATGAGGGGGTAAAAATATGAGGGGGATTCACTGTGAAGTTCACCTATGACCTTGAGATGTCAAGATATTTGAAAAGGATTGTAAGAAATGTATTTTTTTAATGTAACATACAGACATTATATATTATTATGTTTTGTATATATGTTTGCAGTAGCCGGGATGTACCCGTACGGCTTCCCGTATGCGTACGCCTGCGCGCCGCCGCCCGGATATCCCTTCCCTCAAAGTAATTGTATCGAAGATTTTTTTCATTTATTATAATAAATGGTTCATCATCAGCTCACTATACGTCCTCACTGAAGGGCTCGGAGCCTACCCTAAGTTAGGGGTGATTAGGCCATAGTCAACGCTGGACAAGTGCGGGTTGACTTCACACTTATCTTTGACTTTGTCAGATATTTGCAGCATCACGATGTTTTCCTTCACCGTAAGAAAACATATTGGTACATGCCGGGATTCGATCCGAGGAGCTGCATATTGCAAGTCAACTGCTTAAACCCCTGAGCCAACGACGTGGTTAATCAAAATAATTCATTTTGGAAACTCTTTTGCTGTGGACTTCTGAGACAAAAATATCCGTTTCACTAGCCACCGTTATCTTAGAAAAGGATGGGATGGGGAAGTGGATTTGACGGAGGAGGAGACGCATTTGAAGGGGAAATATCTACTTTATATGCGTCCCCTCCTCCGTCGATTCAAATTTGCCAACGCATCTACAATTGCGGATTTCTATGCGCAGGGGCCGATATTTCGCCGATTTTTATTTTTTTTATAAAATATTAGTAAATTTTAGTTAATTTACTAATATTTCTTTTACCATTCCAACTAAGCTGTATACTTGTGCTAGGATATAGTTAACGACAATAGTCTAACGGCGGGATTCGAACTCTCGTCCACGTGATCGGCAATCGGTATCCTTAACCTAATCCGTTAGTTCGTTTGACACGTATGTATAAAAATGTTATATACATAATGTATTTGTATGTGTGCATGATGTATGTATGTGCAGCATCAATGTATTACCCTGTGAGGGGGTACATGCCGCGGGGGAGGGGGCGCGGGCGCGGGCGGGGCGGGGCGCGGCCTCGTATGCCATACTTTGATGGTCCAGATGCCAGCCACCAGTATTACCAGTGAGTGCTTTCATTAGTAGCCTTCGTCTTTTTTCAGACTATGTTCTATATTCGTGCCAAATTTCATAAAGATCGCTTGAGTCGATCTGAAGATATCTTCTAACAAACATATGTCATATATAGTGTGTGTTCCGGAGGCCTAATTTACTCCTCTTTCTCTTCCCACCCTTATTCTTTGAAGGAAAGGATGGGAAGTGGAAGTGGACTTTCATGATGAGAGGATGCATGGAAAGGGAAAATATTTTCTTTCTGTGCATCCCCTCCTCCGTCGATGAAAGGTAGGCAACGCATATGCAATTGCGTATGTCTATGGGCAACGGTCACTTCGCTATTTCAGCGATTTAAGATGGCCGATAGCTCGTTTACCACCTTATGATATAAAAAAAATATATCCAAACATCTAAACACTAAAATTGTTCAAAGTAAATCTATCTTACTAATATTATAGACAAGAAATGACATTTTCAGTCAGTTACATGTGTAAATATAATTCCTTATTTCCATCGACTTTGTATTACTGACCTCTATTAAATGGATAGGCTATAAGCCGTGATATTTTGTGCCATTTTGATTTTCGCCATTTTATCGTTAATGGTTGCGATTTTTAACCGTGGTGAGGTATCCATAAATAAAGATCAGCGGTTTGAATGTTTTCGTGTTACTGTACCTGTTCACTTTGCAGATATTTCAAGAAATTAACAGCACAAGAGGGCCGCAACAATCATTGCGATCGCACGCACGTTCGTCGCTCGTACAGCCGCTCGCATTCGCGCTCGCGGTCACGCTCGCGCACGCGTTCGCGACATCGCTCGTACAGCCGCTCTCGATCCAGAAGTAGACGATCTAGAAGTAGAAGATCGAGAAGTAGAAGATCAAGAAGTAGAAGTAGACGCTCGAATACCAGAAGGAGATCCAAGTGAGTTTAATTTTTTTTTATTGTATATATTATGAAGTTTATCTTTATTATTCGATTGTAGATAAAGAAAAATTTAACTCTCTATGTCCCTGTGTCTGTCTGTCCGCAAGTTTGTGATTGGAATAGTTGAAGGAATATTAATAAATGATTTTTTATAAATAAAATAATCATTAATTCAAATAATTATTATTATATGGGTACATATGAATTAAAATATTGCAAAAATAAATATTTTCTTTGTGATATTACCAAATTTTCGAAGGTCATGTCAAGCCATGCACTTGTGTTTGGAACCGGAGAGTTTAAAAACGCATTTTAAAATTATAACATTGTTAAACCGCGGAGGAAATAACTTTTGCATAGGAACTCATATAGATAAAGATAAAATCGAAAAAAAAACGGAAACGTTGGATTGCATTTGATGACGATTGATTGTTGATTTCATCTAATCAAGTTTCCCTAATTATTATCTTGTATGTTTTACATTTAAACGCACAACGACTACGTTATTTAACAAAAATATTAATGTTTGTTTGTTTGTAATTTTCTTTCGAGACAACTGTTTTATAGCAACTCAAATATTAAGGTGTTTGGAATTAAAAAAAACAAACTACTTTTTTTTTAATTCCCAAATTACTCGTATTACAGGTCCAGTCATAGCCGATCTAGGTCTCGTAAGCGATCCAGATCACGCAGTCGACGGACAAGGACCAAGTCTAGGACCAGATCGAAGACCAGACCGTTGACCACGCCCAAACTAGACGAACAGACAGACGGACAAGGAGATAAGCAGTTGAACACGCCAAAGCGGCGGTCTAAAAGCTGGTCTTTGCCTAAAGAGGGGGAACCTCACAGGTCCTGGTCTACAAGTCCAAAGAATGGGGAGGGACGTAAGAGTTAGTGTTATTATATTTAATTTGATTATAAATTTGAAGAAATAAAGTATGAAGAAGTGAACAATTGCAATTTTTAGTTTGAAAATTAATTAACAATAAACTTTGTCGCCTTTCAAAATGTTGAATCTTCGGATATGCAGAATATCAACTCTATAAACAAATATGTTAAGCTATTAGTATGTAAAAAATTAATTTGTGAGTAATATAAGTCTAATAAATACATTTATATTATTTATAAGAGTTTCTTTGAATATATTTATCAGTGGTAGAGTCCGCTTTAACATCTCCGCACGAATTGTCCCAGATCGCCCGGTGAAATACCACGACCACACAGAAGACAGGCGTACAGTCTGATGAGTGTGGGTCCCGGAGGCCTAATTTAGTCCTCTTTCACTTCCCACCATTTTTATTATAAGGAGAGGATGGGAAGTGGAAGTGGACTTTCCGGATGAGAGTATGCATGGAAATGTTTTCTTTCTGTGTATCCTCTTCTCCGTCGATGAAAGGTAGGCAACATGCAATTGCGTATGTCTATGGGCAACGGTCTCTTCGTTATTTCAGCGATTTCAGGTGTCTGCTCGCTCGTTTGCCACCTTATGATATAAACAAAATATCAATTGAATAGACCGCAGGTTTCCACCAAACAAGAATATGTTGTTATATATTTTGTTATTAATTCTAGTATGTCGACAGTGGAAGTCGACGGTTAACTTGTAAAATACTGTGGGGTAGTTTAATAGAAATGAGGAATTATTTACGCATGTCTCTGGCTGATAATGCTATTTACAATCTAGGGATTTATTTATTTTGAAAACTTTGTGTTTCCAATTAAATTCTATTTCGACAAAGATCTTGAAGCAATAGGAATATATGTGAACTGTCAATGTCATCTTGACAGCGTCATATTTTGACCAATGAGGAAGCAGCTGCACCGTTTTGTGTTGCCATTATAATAATTTTGAAATTGCATAAAAATATGCATGTTATGACATGAAGGTTAATTTACGGTTAATTTTATTTAGTAAGGAATTATTACGAGAACAAAGGTCATAAGTTGCTATTGCTTGGAGTTGTAATGGAAGACTTTCGAAAGAAGTTAGACATTTTTGATAATTAGTAACCCTTAAAACTTATAGACGCCTCTTTCTTGGAATCTACAAACATTTTTTAATTTTTTTTTCAAGAAGTATGTTGCATATTAAAACCGAAAGTATTTAATGATTTTCTAAAATACGATGATTATTTATATAAAGTTAGAATCGAGAAAAATGAGGTAAACCATGGGTTAAAGCTTGTTTTATATATCTGAATAGTTTTAATATAATTAACCGTTAGAAAAATACAATTATATGGAATCACTTTCAGAAATCAGTTGAGATAAGCACGATGTGACGATAAATGTATATAATTACAATTTTATCTTTGGATTAAAGGAAATTGTTAATTAAATTATCATTAAAATTTCCTGTGCTTTGATAAACTAAATATATAAAGATGTTGACTATTATCAATAGTATGTCGTTACTGGTTCGTACGTAGCTACAACATGAAGTTTGCATTCGCTTTAGTTGCCCTCGTTGTCGCTGTCCAGGTAAGACACAAAGTTTATCCCTTATTTATTATTAATATTAAATACGAAAGTTTAAATGGATTGATGGATGTTTGAAGGTATAAGACTGAATGGATTTTAATAAAAAAAATATTCGTATAGAACATAGTTTAGATGAACAAGTACTTATTAAGTTTCTTTTAATCCGTTCGGACGGAGTATTGGGCGACATCTAGTAAAGTTTTATCCGTCTATATAATTTGTGATCAAATATCAAATGAGTATACGTGGCGTTATATTTCAAATATCTCAGTGACTTATCAATTATATTTAAAAAAAAAGATAGTAGAAATGATTAAACCATAATTAAAGGATGTCCTCTTTCACGCGAAATTTATTAAAGACAGAAGTTGGTGAAGAAAAGTTCCTATATAACAAAAAAAGTCGGCAGCGATTATACAGGCGGTTGCAAAAGTATGATTGTTTTTTTTTTATATTTGTGTTTGTGAGCCCCCAGTAGGTTTTATGTCAAAGGTTTGTTTATAAAAATGTGTATGAAACAAAAATCGTGTTTTTAATATGAATAAAACTAAGACTTTTTAAGATATGAAAATAAATGTTAAATTATTTTAACATAAATATAATACTCTAGTGGCTAAACGAAGCAACTTTGGATAGAGGTAAGTTGGATGTAATCGTCATATTTTCGAGTAAGGCATCTGTGATACTCTTTCGTACCCATCATATAAGAACATCCTGTATGCAGTACTCCAATCTTTGCTTTATCACAAGCTAAATATTGTATAAACCGTAATCATTGTTCGTAGTATTACTCACAGAAATCTATATTGACAACACTAACTTCTTAAAATTAGGCAAAGCATCTAAATATTCTACAGAAGTTTATTGAATCGAGTGTTGAAGACGTCATAAAATATTTTATATTACTCGGCTATGAATAAACATTTTTAAACTACTATTGCTAGGCTGATTGCTCTCGATAACTTAGCTTTTTGAAGCTACTTTCTAGTTACTCTATTAGCTTACACTTAACTCTTAATGATGCAAATATTACTAGAAGATAAACAGAAAGAAAATAACAGATATTGCTAAGAATTAAAAATCAATTTAAATCTATAATATTAAAGTTTCACTTTCATAATTTCAATAAATCTTTTCCCTTTACAAAAATACTTATATAATCAGTTTAAGTCAAGGTTTTTCTAATCATTTTGTTGGACCGTGTCAAAAATAATATGATGGTTATCATCCATATTATCATAATGTACGTAATTAGGTTTAATACAGACAAATAATTATCTAATCACAAATTTATTTAATTATAACCATAAATATACTGTATTTATGATTCAAAAGGAACGTCGATGGCTCAGTGGTCAAGCAGTTGACTTGCATTCTGCAGGTCCTGGGTTCGAATCCCGCCATGTACCAATGTGTTTTTCGATTTCCGATTTACATATGTACATTTATCCGACGTTCTTACGGTGAAGGAAAACATCGTGATGCAACCTGCACATATCTGAGAAGAAATTCAAAGATATGTGTGAAGTCAACCAACCCGCACTAGGCCAGCGTGGTTGACTATGATCTAATCACCCTAAACTTAGGGTAGGCTCTGAGCCCCTCGTTGGGGACGTATAGTGAGCTGATGATGATGTTGATGATTCAAAATATAATAAGGATTAAATTATAATGCATTATTCACGAGAAATAGCGTTTACTACTACAGTAGAACCCCGGTAATACAATTTCTCGCAAAATACGCCATTTTACGTAGGTCCCTGCAACTTAAGACATGTTTTCATACATTACTTAACGCTTAATATGATGCTCATTACGTTTAATACGCCATCACACGCCGCACGTATTGTCTCTTGTAGCAATGGTTTCCGAATTAACCGCGTTATTGACTTCGTGTTAGAAGAATAACGACCTGTGGTACTGCAGGATTATTCTACCATTGATGACAATGTTGCACCGCACGAGATGCAAACTATTATACATCTCATTCAATATGCTAATAATACGGAGACTCCGAGTGATAATGATGAATACGAAGATGAAACAATCTTATAAACATCTTTATAAATCATCATCATCAGCTCACTATACGTCCCCACTGAGGGGCTCGGAGCCTACCGTAAGTTAAGGGTGATTAGGCCATAGTCAACCACGCTGGCCAAGTGCGGGTTGACTTCACACATATCTTTGAATTTCTTCTCGGATATGTGCAGCTTGCATCACTATGTTTCAATAGTGTTTCAATTGTCACATTAAAAACAACAAGTCAATTTCATGACTACAATAATTTGTTAAAGGGTTAATAGAACTTTTTATGACAAATAATTTACAATTCATATTTAATATAAGGTTAAAAGGTTATTTGAAAATTTATTTATGCTTAATTTTACAGGGGCGCAGCACAGGCTTGGACGGTAAGTGTAATTATCACTTATTTACTTAGCTTCGTCCCCTCCAACTTAACCTAACTTAAATTTATGACTAACTTTAGTTTTCTCTTCAACTTAATTCACACTCTATAATACTTTATTTCATAATTAAAAATGACGGGTATGCGGAGATTAAATAATTCAATGTTTGTTATAAAAAATTAAAAAGTGTTTTTATTTTTTGATTTAGTATAGTGTGTTTTTTATTTTCCTTCAACGTAAGAACATCGGATAATAACATATGAAATTCAAAAATCGAAAAACACATTACATGGTTGGGATCGAACCTGATCGTTTAGATTAACGATCCGTTCCGAACTAGCGTTAAACAACTGAGCCACCGACACTTTATCCGATTTTTTAAAATAAATTAGGGTTTTCTGTTTGACCTTGGAATGTCGAACGACAGATTTTTAGTCCGAAAGGCATTTCAGTGTAATTTTTTAAACTTTTAGCTCCCATCACCGCTGTGTCGACTGCTGAGAACCCATGGGTGGTGCATCTCCGCATTGCTAACACCTTCGGTGCTGGTCTGCTCAAAAGCTGCGTCGGTTCCCTCATCAATGAGCGCTGGGTGCTTACCTCTGGTGCCTGCGTAATGAAGTAAGTGTAACAGTCGCGCCAATTCGTGAACATGTTAAAGCGGGCTCTACCACTGTTAAATCACTAACATGAATAGTTAAAAACATTTTTTATTTATTAGTTTATGGTGGCAAATGCGGTAACCTAATTTCGCTAAAATAGCGATGCGACCGCTGCCCATAGACATCTACAACTTTTAACAAATTGAAGAAAAAAATCTACAAATTGTTTAAATTGCTTATGGTCTTAAAATTTTCATAGTCATAGATTTTTATTCCATGAATATACATATGAAGACTTACTAAGTTTATTCTTATATTCAATGAGGACTTTAGCCGATACTATCATGTTTTTTTGTCTGACATATTCCCAAGAGTTTATTTAATTCGGCTTTAACTAGCGATTGATTTTGTCTTTTACTGAATTATATGATTCGGTATTGTGTTCAGCCTTCGCTTCGCTTGGATCCGGTATGGAGCCGCTAACGTGCTCAACCCCGAGCTGGTGACTGAGACTGCGTCGTCGCGTTTCAACAACAGGGTCGGTCTCATCGCCATCAACCGCGAAGTCGAGTTTACACGTGAGTATTGTCAATGTATCGCGAAGAGTCTTGTTAGTGAAATATAATAAGTAAGAATCTTTGGATGGATGCATGTTTGTTAGAAGATATCTTTAAAAATGCTTTACGGATGTCGTCGAAATTTTGCTTAGATGTAGAACATAGTCTGGAATAAGAAATAGACTGCTAAGTTCTTTTTTTTAACTCCGCACGGATGTAGTCGCGGGCAATAGTAATAACCAGATAAGTCCTTAAATCAAATGCAAAATAATAATTGGAGAGCAGTTTATTTTTATTCTTCTTGATGAAACTATTACCATTAAGAATATGAAAATGGATGAAATGATGTGACTTAGTTACAATTTGGTAATGTTCAATATTACAGCCACAATCAGCTCTGTGGAGCTGGCGGCGGCCAGTGACGAGCTGCCAGAGACCGCCACGCTTTGCGGCTACGGCGCACAGGAAGACGGATGTAAGTAAACTTTGAACTTGTTTACTTTGTAGTTTTAACAGTGGTAGAGCCCGCTTTAACATCTTCGCAAGAATTGGCCCGACTCGCCTGGTGAAATACCACGACCACACAGAAGACGCGTTTCGTCTGATGAGTGTGCGTCCCGGAGGCCTAATTAAGTCCTCTTTCCCTTCCCACCCTTTTACTTATAAGGAAAGGATGGGAAGTGGAAGTGGAATTTCCGGATGAGAGGATGCATGGAAAGGGAAGATATTTTCTTTCTGTGCATCCTCTCCTCCGTCGATCAAAGGTAGACAACGCATATGCAATTGCATATGTCTACGAGTAACGGTCACTTCGCTATTTCAGCGATTTCAGGTGGCCGCTCGCTCGTTTGCCACCTTGTGATATTGAAAAAAATGTATATGCTCATTTCAAATAATACGACTATCATGCATTCTGTATTTTCTTTGCACGGTTTTTTAAAGTATTATATTATAAATATCCACTAAGATGTCTTTTTAAACTCTTATCTATCTCTTATTTTATGTTTTACAAAAATGTTTGCATTAGTAGTTAGTTTTACGTCTTTATCTTTATCCTTTTAATCCTCCCTTATAACACGTTCAGTGCTAACGAGTCGTCTAATAGTTTCACTGTCATATGCAAATTTGTCGTGTCGTGTTGTATTGTGTTAAATTCTGTGATTGTTCCTTGCAGCCCCCGGCGAGACTCTGAACTGCTTCGAATTCACCCTCTCAGAACAGCGCCATGACATGTTTGAAGCCACCAGCGACGTACAGACCACTGAAGTGAGTTTCTAATCATCTCGTAATCTTAAGTCTTACTAATTTTACTAATAATGGATGGATGGATGTTAGAAACCTTCAAATAGTTGGAGTAGAGTGGTCGTAGTGTGAAAATAATACATAAAATGTGATCAAGGAATGTGCTAATCGTTTATTTATTTTTGTAATTGTGTCAAACTTTTTTTGTCTCTGGTTTAACATTGAATTTTTTTTATTACAGTTCGACATCGGAGCACCTCTGGTGAGCAACGGCAAGCAAATAGGAGTCCTGGTCACTCCTGCTGAGGGCGGTTCCCCTGCCGGTAAGTTATTACCAGGATTTTTTTGCAATTTTTTTTTAATTTACTAACATTTCTTGTACCATTCCAACCTAGCAGGCTTGTGGTAGGATATTTTTGACAATAGTCGAATATTTGGAATCGAACTCCCGAGTGTGATCTGAAATCCGTACTATTAACCATTAGGCTATTGCCACAACAATTCATTGAGTTCATGGTCTTCGTAGTGTGGAGAGAAGACCAGAATATGGTCTTTTTGGCATTCAATCCAGTCGCCATAGCGACTATTCTAATACCTTTTAAATACTTTGGCTGTAGTACGATAAAGTAATATTTGAAATAGCATTTTTTGTAAGTTTTTTATCAACGTTTTTTTTATTTTACAGTGTTCGCGAAAGTTGGCTCATACAAAGTCTGGATCGACTTCGAAACTGGATTCAATTTCCCGCAATAAAATATAATATTTAATTATTTTAATTAATTCTTGTTGCATAAAGACATTAATGCCAATAAATATTCACTTATGTGAATTTATTAAAATATAAAATTGTTATTTTATTCTTGAGAATTTCCAATTGTCCTGAAAAAAAAAATGTTCTCTAAACTTTAATGATTCAATCCAATTTATTGTTGTTTTCTGAAATCAAAATCTCTGTATAAAACTTATCGTCACCCGTCTTTTGACAAAACAGAGATAATGTGTTTTATACAAGGATTTTGGTCTCAGAAACCAACGTGAAGACACGTCCGCGAAGAATTAAATTGTATCTACGCCAAATTCTATCGAGTTCCATGCAGCCGTGTTTAACAGTGGCAGAGCCCGTTTTAACATCTTCGCACGAATTGTCCCGGCTCGCCCAGTGATATACCACGACCACACAGAAGACAGGCGTCAAGTGGAAGCAAGTCCGCGTACAGTCTGATGAGTGTGCGTCGCGGCGGCCTAATTTAGTCCTCTTTCCCTTCCCACCTTTTTTCTTATAAGGAAAGGATGAGAAGTGGAAGTGGACTTTCCGGATGAGAGGATGCATGGAAAGGGAATATATTTCCTTTCTGTGCATCCTCTCCTCCGTTGAATAAAGGTAGGCAACGCATATGCAATTGTGTATGGGCAACGGTCACTTCGCTATTTCAGCGATTTTAGGTGGCCGCTTGCTCGTTTTGGTAACCACCTTATGATATAAAAATGGCCGTTTTTCCATCCATCCAAAATTTCGCATTTATAATATTAGTAATATTTATGACAGCATTCATTTTTAGTTACATCTAGTTTTGAATCTGTTTTAAAGATTGGCGAATATAATGAGTCTTATACCTTTTTTAGAAAATATATATACCTTTGTTGAAAATAAAAATGTAAGGACATGACAGAGTTGAAGCGTTACGTTATTACGTTAAAGTACTCGCGCTTAGGGTTCATTTAGAATTATTGTTCTGTCTGAATGTTCTGAGTTCTTGAATTATTGCATTCCTAATAAGATGCCACCCTTGAAATCTAGATCTTAGACTGAATGAACAATGTCAAATAGGAATTCTAGGATGGCATGAAAGCACGAAGTATTTTAATAATGAAAACAAGTTATATTAAATGTTTCTTGACTGTAAGTTTCCACTGACGAAACTATTTTATAGATACTCATGATCATGATGACATATTCATGTTCATCAGCTTACTATATATAACCACCAAGGGGGAAAGGGAAAAAACGGAACCCTTATAGGATCACTTTGTTGTCCGTCCGTCTGTCTGTCAAGACCCTTTTATAAATCATACCGTGAAGTTATATATAATGACGTCAAAAAGTCAGCGTCACTGAAAGTTGTAACATCGTATATTTTATGTAACATCATAAAAGCCGCTCCACACGACTCGAGGAGAGCTCGGCAAATTTACGCAAGCCGCGTCATCTGAATGAGCCATTAAATTAATGGATGGCTCGTATTGAAGCCACTCGATATAAAACTTAACGCCACAGATTATATTTAACGTATATATGAGGTAACGAGATTACCATATAAATTATTAATAAGCTCGCACATTTAATTTGTTTGGAAAGAAACTTTGGTTATTTCTATATTTTTATTTAAAATAGCAAAAATTGTGTATGTACGCGTTTTTGTATAAATGTAGAAGCGAGACAGATGTGTCAGGACTGCGCCAAATTAAATTCAACGGTGTTTGCCTACCCCTCTTGGTTACTAGCGTAAGTTATCTTGTAAAAATTGTATGAATGCAGAATTTGAGGTTATGAACATTAGCGCTACTTAAAGAATTGATCAGTCGTCAGAGAGGTACCAATAACTAAGATCAGTATGTCCGGTTGTCTGCAGAATCTCGGTCAGTGTGCCAACGTCTTTCAGGTTCTCAGACATGTTGACTCGTGTGACAACTTAAGTAATGATTGCGTCACACAACGCAATAGATAAGTCTATACAATATTATGAATGAATTAACTAATTTAACTAATATGTAACACAGGTGCAAGATTTTAGATTTGATTCCTAGTAATACCGGAAACAGATGAACTGGTCTAGATGGAATTTGGCACAGAATATTTGATGTTTCTAAAGAAAAAAATGGTTATTGTGAGGAATTCTTTTAGGATTTTTATTTAGCATATTTAAAGACCTACAATTCTTTTATATCTCATTTTTATGTAGGTTCTCTAGTTAAGCGTAAGCGAAGAAAGCAAAATTGTCCTATTTTTTGCCGACTTTTTGGGACCAAGTAACCCGCAACACCTTTCATATAAAAAGAGAAAGAATAAGATTAAGAAAATCGGAACAACAGGACGGGAGTTACGTAGTAACAAAAAAAATAAAACATATAGATGAATTGAGAACCTCCTCCTTTTTGAAGTCGGTTAAAAATATAACGCAGTCTGGAAGAAAGCAAGGAAGAAAGTGTCAACGGGAGTGCATCTACGACCTTTAATTTTGTACAAGGTAAGATAAGAAGCGTCGGTGGCTCAGGGGTCAAGCACTTGACTTGTAATCTTCAGTTCAGTGCAATATGGGTTCGAATCCCGCCATGTACCAACGTGTTTTTCGTTTTCCGATTTGCATATGTACATTTATCCGACGTTCTTACGGTGAAGGAAAACATCGTGATGCAACCTGCACATATCTGAGAAATAATCCCCTCGGTGGGGACGTATAGTGAGCCGATGATGAAGATAAGAGGCAGAGTAAAAATCAGCGGCAATTTTTGACCCTATGCATGTTTAGTAGCATATAACTGTAAGTTATCTCTATGTTTTTCGCCATATTTTCCCAATATGTTGTTGGACGATGTCGTCAGTTGTGTCTGACGGCGCAATTCTGCGACGGCGACTGGTCACTATGACTTGTTGCGTACATGTTTACTTTAAAGTAAGTTTAGTTCCACATAATATGTGTGTTGCAAATACAACTATTTCATAGTCTAAACTCTTATTAAGTAATTGGCCGAATTTGGTGTTGTTTTTGACAGAATTTTATAAACAAACTAGTAGCGCGCGACTCAGTCCGCGCGGATTTAAAAAACTTAGTAGCCTATGTGTTCTTCCAGATTATGTTCTACATCTGTGCTGAATTTCATCAAGATCCGTTGAGCTCTTCCGGAGATATATACTAACAAACATCCATCCATCCATCCATTTATAATATTAGTAAGATGAGTCACATAACGATGATGAGAAAAGCGTTCACAAATGCCAAATGCTATACATTATTTGATTATTAGCTTTCATAGTTTAGAAATTGACCTTTGAAAATGTAAGCCCAGACTAAGTAATCAAGAGTGCTTAGACAATAAACGTGTCTTGAATTCAAATGAACAAATCAACTTCAAGACGATTTCTACATTTGTTTTAAGAATTTAAAGTCATTAGAGAATGTAAACGATCTAACGAGGATAGACGGGAGGAGGGGGGAGGAGGGGGGAGTGCGCAAACATTGCGAACGAGCTGACATAGAGTAAGATCGGGTAAAATGGAAGCTCCGTATTACAAATGTATATTGAAATGCGAATGAATCAGACGATTTGAGTATTTTAGTACAAATTAAAATTAAAATATCGTAAGTAATTCTAGGTTAAGATGCTGTCACGGTACCTTATAATAATAATAGCACAGGGTCGGCTATTTATGATAACATATATAAAATTCGATTTAATTTTATATTTTATAAATTAAGCACACATAAGCAAATGATGATATAAGCAAAAAAGTAATGAGATTGAATGTGGATGGCTGCAAAGGTAGAGGAAGACAAAAAAAAAGTATGGAATGACTGTGTGAAAGAGGAAATGCGTAAGAAGGGTGTAGATTCGGGTATGACGGCTGATAGAGATGTATGGAGGAGTAGTACTTACTGTGCCGACCCCCAATAGGGATAAGCGCAGGTTGATGATGATGATAAATTAAGCACACATTTTATCTTTTACGTAAAATGTAAATAAGCTTCTCTTCTCCTGTTATTTAGTTAATTTATATTTTTTGGGTTTACTTCTTTTTTTCACCTTTCAAAGTTTATATTGTAATTTTACGAATTTATTTATTACTTAAATTATAGTATTGTAATAAAAATAGGAACTAACAATAAAATCCATATTCTTTGTGAATTTATCACACAAGTTCTGTTAATATTACGATTATAAAGAAAATTTTCTACTGTAAAATACGAGTGATATAAAAATGTGTCGATTGCGGGCCTGGTGTGACTTTCTCTGTTACAGCATCGCTTGCGCTTGCGCTTGCGCACGGCGCGTCGCACCGCCAAACTTGCTTTATTACATTTAATGAAATGTCAGAGTACGCTCCTGTCTAACCACGATATTCTTTATTCAAAATTATCTACAGAGTGTACTAATTTAAAATTAATTTAATCATGATTAAATAAAAAAAATGTCATAGTGAATAAATGGATTTCAGTGGATAAACGATGTTATCAAGATGTTTGGATTCAAACGTTCTTATATGAAAATTATTCTACTCTTGGTATTCGCTGTACAATTTTGTACCTTCGGTAGTGTTGTTTTACGGTATATGTTTAATTGTTCTCTTTGTGTGGCGTGTGTACTAGCTGTACTTACTTACGACCATGATTATTGGAGGGTTAAGGGGATATTTTCACCCCCCGCGTGGCCTCTGGTAGGCCACATCAGGACTGTTGTGGCCTTCAAGGAGCAGGGTGGGATGTGCTTCAAGAGAATCTACGATAAATATAAAGATAAAAAGTTTATAGGTAAGTAATACTTAAGTATAAGTCTTGTCTTCTTTCGTTGTGATTGTTTTTTCAAATTGCATCTTCAAATATTTGGAATCTATAAAATATACAAGCGGACCCGACAGACGTTGCCCTGTCTACACGTCTTTAATTTGAATAATTTAATATTAAGTTAATATTTGATGAAAATTGTGAATCTAAACCATTCCCAGATCCCCTTGAACATACACAAAAAATTTCATCAAAATCGCTCCAGTCGTTTGAGAGAAGTTCAGTGACATACACACTCACAGAAGAATTATATATATAAAGATAATAAATCATTTAAAGAACGTTTATTTTTATAATATTTCATTAGTTTGATTAAAAAGTGAACGACGTTGGTTTATTTAAGTCTTTAAAGCAAGGTCACTAGGTTGACTAAATAAAATAGCTCTTGCTATTTAGTGAATTAAAAGTTAATCGTACTAA